TGTAGGTTCTTTATAAATACTGATTCATGTTTAGACTGCTCAGGATCAGTGCACCAAACTATGGAATAAAAATATTTCAGAAAAGTCCCTCAGCTTTTAGATCGCACTATTTCACAGGAGAAGTCACTTCATTTAAGGAAAGATTATTTTATGTAAATATAAATATTGTTATTTCTAAATAATCCACCAAACTGCATCAAACTTTTACTTTAAGAGAAGTCTAAAAATAATTTGTTTACGTAAGTCTTACATCTTTATTGTATTATCGCTTGCAGCTGCTGTTGCCCATGTCTGTTAGTAAAATATCTCATGAACCACAGGACAAATGTTGTTAAAAATTTCAGAAATAAATTATTGACAAAGCATCTACAACTGATCAATTCTGGAGTCAATCCAAGTCAAGATGGCCACCACAGATTACCAACATCAGTCTAGATAACAAACAGCTAGAACTGTCAGTTTGGAGCTAAAGTTTTGAGCGGTGGTAGCTGAGGGTTATACACAACACATACTCTGAGAGTGACATTTTATATGAGACCCCACATAAACTTGGTTTCAAGGTTTGAACAAAACGGCTCCATCGTTATAAATAAACTTTGTTTAGATATAACTATATACAACATTTAATATAGAAGTCTTGTATACATTTTTAGTGTTACTTTAATAAAAAATAAAATAATAAACTCAGAATGCAAGTCCTTTAAATGTAGTTTCCACTGTGTTGCCTCAGAGTAGCATCAGCTGCAGGAAACCTTTTATTTTGAAGGGTTTCTGTCGCATCCTTCAGGGAAATGTTGACCCAATTAAAGCAAAATGGAGCAGCGATTAAAACACTTCATGGAGCGCGCACATCTCTCCTTTCATTCAGCGTGACTGTCGTGTCGTCTTCGAGCCTCCTGTCAGACCCGTCCCGCTGCTCCTCCACCTCTTCCCCTGAAAGTTTCACATCTTCTGCTTTGATAAAGTTACCAAAGCAGACTCGGAGCTTCTGTCCTGACTCTGCTTGTCTCTGTTTTAACGCTGCAGCATGAGGAAGATCCAGAGGTAGAGTATCGCCTCTTTTACTGCTCTTATCGTCTCGTCGGTTTGTTCTTGGTGCTTCCTGCACGTTCAGACGTCCGTCGAGCCTTTATTGCTCCACTCAGGTTTGTCTGAACTGACAAATCTGACTCCTGTAGTGGGAGGAGACGTGAACAAAGCAGGCCTTCTTCTTCTATGCACAAACATCTTTACAGTTTCTGTTCCTGGAAAGACTTGTTCCGTCTGTGGCATCGTGACCCTGGTTTCTGTTCATCATAAAATATTTACCTCGTGGTGAAGATTTACCAGTTGCCTTAGAAAATGTTCATCTTCCTGGTATTTACTCATCAGCAGAACCTGTTGAAGGTTAATAATCTGCATACTGGATTACCGGTAGATGTCACTGTGTGTCTAGGCCTGTCGCGATAAACGATAAATCAATTAATCGCATGATAAATGAAAATTATCGACCTCATTTTCATTGTCTCTCTTTCTACTGAAGACACTGGATGACAAAAAGTTCAACTCCAGTTCTTCACTGACCCCTCCCGTTCTCTTTTCTCTTTAAAATCTGTTTTAATCGTTCGAAATTGTGTTTTTCGATCGCTAACAGCAGCTAAGCTACGAGCTAAGCTAACAGGCCGACCTCGGGGATAAAACCTCCGTCTTGTCGATGCTCCAAAATTCACGGTTGAAACCCGTGCCTTCGTATAAAAAGTTTTTCTCTGCAAAAAGAAGCTGAGAACTTGTTTACTGATTTTTTTAATTAAAAGTTTTGTGTGACAAATTTAATAATAATAATAATAATGTCGTCACTGTATGTTTCCATACATGGCGAAATTAGTCTCTGCATTTAACCCATCCACCGCCAGGTGGTGCAGTGGGCAGCTATTGAAAGTGCCGGGGAGCATTTTGGGGATGAGGTGTGCTGCCCAAGCTAAAGAGCTCAACCACACTGAGTGGCCGCCATTTTGGGAACCAAAAAACAGGAAAGAGAGACAGCCCATCTCGCGTCAAGGGGCCTCCCTCACATTTTTCTTAAATATACACGCTGCTCACTCCCTCACTATCCATCCTTTGGTTCAAACAGTCTTATACTGCCATCTGGTGGTCAAAAAAGGTACTACACACAAAAATTAACCAACATTTCTTCTTAAATTTGACAATAATGACTAAATATTGTCAGATTTCAAATAATGTTATCATTTATCGCAATAATTTCTGAGACAATCGTCCAGCAAAATTCGTTATCGTGACAGGCCTATTAGTGCCGTTAAACAGGTGTCACACTTTAAAGTTTATATTTTCATAATACTTGGCTAACTTTGAAGCCAAGAAAAATGAGTAATTTCTATTTTGATGCAGACAAATCAACAGAAAACATCAAATGAGGCAGATGAAGGTCTAGCTGAGGAGCCTGCAATCGAGAGATATCAGCTATCTGACTGGGCTTAAAGGGTTCAATTGGCACTTGGTTTTAAGTAAGTTTTAAATTTTGGCCCCCCCGATCTAGAAGTCTTCAACAAACCTGGCAGGTAAATGTTACTGAAGAGTTTAAGAGGTGCTGATCTACTGATTTAGCTACTTTTTGGCAGAACGGGGCCAGCCGAATGATTCTGATGCGGAGCTAAGAAAATATAAAGAAACTGTAGAAATGAGTGTGAAGTAGACCGGATGGATCAGTTTGATCCTGTTATGACCCGATGATGAAATATCAGCGTTTAGATAAAATCTGGTTGAGTTTTAGCCAAACTGCTTTAGGCGTGCAGTTGTTGCATCCTGTCGCCTCACTCACGTGTCCTTCATCGTGCAGAGAAAGTTTTATACAGATTAAAAACATCTACTTCATGTTAAATCCTTGTAAGACGCTGTGTATTTTTAACCTTAAGATCGTTAACAGTCAGTCATGAAGATGGGTAGGAAAACCTTCTCAACAGAACCTCCCCCTCGATGACGCTCCCTGGAAACCTCACCCCCGTCCCTGACCGAATGCACCCCCTCCTTTGGTTTGACTGGCTGTGCATCTCTGTCCTACTGCAGCATGGGTGTCAGGGTGATGGACACTTCTTGGGTGTCGCGCAGGGGCTCCTCGTCTGCGCGTAAAACCTCCTCCACGCCACCGAGCGTGCACCCCCCAACCCCGCCCGCTGACGCTCTCATCCCTCAGCAGCCCGGAGATTTCTATGCCTCCCCCTCCCCAACCCCTCCTCCCAATAACAGCGACAGAGCCAGGTAAGGCTGTAGTGCCCCCGCTCTCCTGTTTTCAACCCCCCCGAACCTCCCCACCTGCTGCTGCCGCTCCCTCATCACCTAATGCTGTTGTGCCCTGCAGCTGACTCCAGAACAGCGCGTTCGTTCCCTTTAACGCCAGTTTTTAATCGATTTTCCACCCTTTCATTTTCATATGAGCTCTTTTAAGTGTGGTTGTATTGAGTAGTTCTGAGCAGTCAAAATCTTACCTGCAGCAGACACAGCGATCTGAGTTTGGAGAATCAGAAAGAAGCAAGTCAAGCTAACCACTACGTAGAATAAGTCCTGCAAACACAACTAACTCAGAACATTTTTAGCAACTAAAGCTATGCTATTTAATAGTTTTTACTTTACTTTGCCATGAGACAGCTGTTATTTGTTCAACCAAACATTGCTCATATTGCTAAAACCTTCGGCTGATCGGCTTGATCTACTCATCATTATGCTAGTCGAATGCAAAAACATTAACTCTACAATTTTTCTGTGAGCCTGATGATACAAAAGAAGAATTTCTGTTTAGAAAAACAGAACAAACGATCTAATTAGCTAGAGAAAAAATAGCTGCAGGGCATGCATTTTATCTAGCTAGCATTTAGGAGAGGTTGACAAACAACAGTCTCATAGAAGGGAATCACATTTTCTGTAAACGCTAAATGATTTTGCTGATATTGAAGCTGAAACTGAGCTGTTAACGCTAAAAGAAGTAGAACACTAGCTAAAACCTTAAAGTATCAAAACACTAGCTAAAAGAAGCGGGACACTATCTAAAAGCTAAAAAAAAAACCAAGCAAATCACTAGCTAAAATCTGCAAGTTGCAAACTTTAGCTACAAGAAGCAAAATGCTAGCTACAAGAAGCAATTGGTAGCAAAAGACTTACTAAAAGTATTAAAATGCTAGCTAGAATCTAAAAGTAGCAAAGGGATAGACTAAAGCTATAACAGAATGGTAGCTGAAAGATAAATGTTGCAAATGGCTAGCTAAAAGTAGAATATGCTTGCTAAGAGCTAATAGTAGCAAGGGGCTAGACAAAAGCTAAAAGTAGCAGAATAGTAGGTGAAAGATAAATGTATCAAAAGGCTAGCTAAACATTAAAATATGTAGAATGGTATCAGAAAGCTAAAACTGTCAGAATGCTAAGTGAAAGCTAAAAGTAGCAAAATGAAACAAAAATAAAAGATGAGCAAAAAGACGTAATTTATGAAGAATTGACGAGATCTGAATGCATTTCTACAAGGAAAAGTCAAACGTTTTGTAAAGTATAAAATCTATAAAAATTAAAATTTATAGCCCCCCATCTCCTGAATGAGCCGAACATTTTGGAGTAAAGGCCAAAACAGCACAGAAGTTAAGCTACAATAAAAACTGAGCAAAATGAAAAATAGGCAACAATAAACATGTTAAAGGACTGACATGCTCTTTAATAAACCTCCTGCACTGATTGGCTCATTTCTCTACGACTGCTGTCTACTGCAGGTAAGATACTGACTGCTCATATGTACTGCCAACTTAAAAATGAACTATTTATTTTAAGAATGTTCTTTTAAAATTTGTCACTGCCTTTACAGCTTTTATTTTATTTTATTAATATGTTCTCTGATATCTTGCATGTAAAGGTTTCATTTTTCTTAGAATAAACGTTTGGCCTACATATTCATTGCTGTGTGCACGAACCACCATTTTACCTCTGTTTTTGCCAGTCCGAGCCTCATTAGTAACATAAGGCCATGCATTTGATGAGCTGACAACTTTTTGATTAATTTCACTTTTGTTTCTTTTAAACTTTCCCCATGAACGCCTCTGTTCTCCTTTTAAATAACGACTGTTTTCCCTCGGTCTCCTTCCTGTTAGTCGACCAAACATCAAACTTACAGATCAGTGCACCCCACTTTTCCCATTAAATACTAAAATGTTTTATTATTACAGCCCAGACGATGCATCCTCCAACTGGTCGGACTCATGTTACGTCTATCCCTCCCCAGAGGAGGAAAGGCCGCCCCCTCCTTATCCCTCTTCTTCCTCCTCTTCCTCCTCCTCTTGCTCGTCCAACTCGTTCCCTCACCACCTCTATACCCGAGCACCTCAGAGTATGCGTCCCACCGCTCCCACCCCTGAATCCGTGCCCCCTGGCCCGTCCCCCCCACCCCACCTCTCTGGGTACAGCCCGCCCCCGTTCTCCCACTCCCCCTGCCCGTCCCCCCAACTGCTTGACGTCAACTCCAACCTCAAACCCAGCTCTCTGCACCTGCCCAAACGGGCCTCGCTGCCCGACACTTCGCATGTGACCCAGTCTGAACCAAACGGCTCCACCCTTTACATCAAACCCCCGCTCGTTCTTACCCGCCACGACCTGTTCCCGGGCTCCGCCAAACCTCCCAACACCCCCCTCTCTGCTCCCCCTCCATGGGCAGCCTGTGCCTGTAACCGTGAGAGAGGAGCCAAGCCGAAGAGGTAAATGCAGAAGCACCTCGCTCCCCACACTACCCCCAATTTATGAGGCCCCACAGCCGATGTGTCAAGGACCACTCCCCCCACCACCACTGCAATCTGAGCCAATTCTATCCATTTAGCTCACCTGGTGCGCACCTGTCAGACTTTAGGGTTCGTTATCACACCCTCTTTAATTTAGTTGCCATGTTTGGAAATCTGAGAACTTTTCAGGAAATTCAGGAAATGGGTTGCCAGTCAACAAAATAAATTAAAAGTTTGCAGTATGATCAGAAAGGAGGATTTTGATCGGTGCAAACATAACGTCCTGAAAGAGCAGAGGCCTTGACTCTGAGCACGCCGACATGGAAAGAAACATCAAGGAGAGAAAAAGTTCTTCCTCAAAAAAACTGCATGAGCGCTGAAACGCCTAGCTGAAGAAGCTGAAACTGAAAGTTAAAGCTAAGAGCAGAACACTAGGTAAAGGCTAAAATGAGATAACACTAGCTAAATGTAGTACAATGCTAGCCAGAAAAATGCCAAATGCAAGCTAAAATCTAAAAAAACTAGTTAAAAGTAGCAAAACACTGGCTAAAAGGTAAATGTACCAAAAGGCTATTTAAATAGTGTTCAGTAAAAGCTAAAATCAGCAACGCATTAGCTACAAACTACATTTAAAAAAGTAGGAGAAGACTAGGTAAACATAGCAAAAGGCTACTTAAAAAGTAATAAAAAGTCAAGTTAGAAGCTAAAAGTGGTAGTTCAAAGCTACATGTAGCAATAGGCTAGTACTAAAGGGCTATTTTAAAAATAGTAAAAAGCTATCTAGTACCTAAAAGTACAAAAAGGCTATCAAGAAACTAATAGTAGAACTATAATTCAGTTTATTTATATAGCGCCTTATTGCAACAAAGTTGTCTCAGGGCACTTTACAGAAACATTCACACACATGGAAAAGCCACTGAGTAAAGTTCTGTGTCTAAGGAAGCCAGCAGGCTCCTATAGCTAAAAGTAGCAAGAGGATAGCTAAAGGCTAAGAGTTTCAAAACAATAGTTAACAGTTAAAAGTAGCACATTGCTATCTAAAACAGTAGCTAAAAGCTAAAATAAAAAAGGCTATCTAATAGTGACAGGGTGGTAGCTAAAACTAAAAATAGCACGAGAAGACAAAAACAGCCAATATGCTAAAGATTTCAAAGAGATCTATATTTTTGGTGGAAATGATGAGCTCTTGGTGTGATTATATGGGAAAATACTTGTAAATAAAGTTAAATGTTTTGAAAAGTGTAAAAGTTTAAAAGTAAAACCACCCATCTCTTGAAAGAGCTGGACATTTTGACGTGTAAAAGGCACAAAGAGACTGAGAAAACATCCAGAAAACTAAAGACAGGAAAACAACAAAGTGAATCCTGAGTCAGCGTTTTTGCAGTTGGTGAAGTTTCATCATCGTCATCGCTTTAATCCCAGCGGCCTCAGTCATCCATGTGCGGTTCATCTGCAGTCGGAGCGTAAACGGGTCAAATCCCGTCCTCCAGACCTTGTGCACGTTGACATTCTGCCTGCGCTCGGCTTGAAGACAAACCCACGAAGTCCCCGGGGGTTATTTCAGATTTCAGACCGCGGGGCTCTCGTTGGTTTGTGTTACTGAAACGGTGTCGTGCGCTCTGACGTACATGTGTCTTCTGACCTTTAGCACTCTGAAGAACAAGGAGCTGTCTCCGGTGATTGGACAGAAGAGTCTGCAAGGGACAGTGTCCTCTAGTGGACAGTCTCAGCACTCTGAGCACAGCCCACACAGCCTGAGGAGAGGTGAGACGCCTGCAGACTTGACCTTGACATGCGTTTATACCAGCGGGCGATCATGTCTTTGTCTTTGTTTTCAGCAAAGAAGCTGGCCCCGATTCCACCTAAAGGCCCTTACTGTCAGACGGGAGCCATGTCCGACCAGTCCACGGGTCAGCCGTCTCCGGTCAGCCTGTCGCCCACCCCTCCCAGCACCCCCTCTCCTTACGGCTTCAGCTACCCGCAGGGTTACGCCACCATTGGTTCCCCGAGTCAGATCCAGATGGCAACCGCCCCGTCTCTGTCCTCTCCGCCCTCGCTGGCCGGGACGCTCACCAAGACCAGACCGACCCCCAAACCGCCCCGGCAGAGGCCCAGCTTGCCTCCCCCTCAGCCCCCCTCCACACCTGGCACCAGCCCTCAGCCCCTGGAGCACTCACCAGGGCTCCTGGATGGTCTGCCTCCCGGGGAAAGCATGTCCACAGGTAACGGAGCTCGTGTATTTAATGATACTTTAACTTTATTAGATGCCAACTTGTTTTTTTTTTATTCTTCTTTACTCGTCTGATTTTATTTGGATGAATAGAATAATTTTACCAGCTGTAAGATGACAAAAACATGTAGAGTTTTTATTTTGCTTACCTCTCAGCAAAACAAAAGTAAATCTGCTTAACAAAATAAATAAATTACACTTTAGGCACAACAGCTGTTTGGAGAAGAGCACAGGTAAAGGATGAGGAGGAGGAAGATAGTGTTTTGACAAAAACTGAAGCTGCAAAGATGATCCTAGATAAGATGAGATAAGTTGCGTTAAACTAAGATAAAATGGGTTGGATGAGCTAAACTAAATAAGCTAAGATAAGATAAATATCTTAAATATCATAAACTAAGATGAGCTAATATAAGATAAACTAAGTTAAGATAAAATCAGGATATTAAGAAAACAAAATGGGATTAAAAATATGGTAATCTCTATAATCAGTAATCCTAAATGCTAACAGAAGACGTAGAATGAATGAAATATATTACACAGCACAGAAGAGTGCAAGTGTTATTTAAAACGATCAATGAACATATGTATCAGTCAATATAAATAAGGGGTTGTGCTTTTATTGTGTCAGCAAAATAACTCGTAACACAGACGTCACATAGACAGATTTTGAAAGTTATCATCCGTTGTGCATCTACAACCCAAGAACTTTGATTAAAGATGGCTTCCACAGCCAATCAGCCTTAACCAACACACAACGGCTATAACCCAGTCAGAAACAGCTAAACCTTGTTGTGGTAGTAGCTGAGGGTCATTTACAACAAGCACAGACCGATTGCTTGAGTTCTTTGGCAACATCGTGACAAATATGCATTCCTTTAAGGATCGCGAGCTTTACGACAACTTATAACAGAAAATGTCATGTTTTTTTATAGTTAATTCTGTTTATTAAGCCACATAAGGACAAAAACCAGAGTCCGTCAATAAGGAAACTTTAAAATGTTTGTATTTGTTAATGAATTAGAAGCTGTTTCTAGTTTTGGTTTATGATTCTGCTGCTGTGGAGCGACATCTGTTTAAAGAAGACAAGATGCAAAACTGTTTCAACTCATTGATGTGATTTTAAAAAGTAACTAAAATACAGTTAAACAATGAAAATGAGAAGCTGACAGTGTTTTGTTTTTAGTTTAATATTTATTTGAGTATATTTTGTTTAAAAGCTGACTATTATGTATTTGCCACATCGTTTTATCTTAAACGTCATTTAGGTTTGAATGTTGAAACAATGTTTTTGTAATAATTCAACTAAAGATGAGATGGAGATGGAAGATATTTGTCTGGGTTGGAAAGTGTTTTATTGTATTAGTTGTTCTAAAGTAAACATTTAAGCTGAAGCAGGGGGGCTGCATCATCTTCTTCATGTCTTATTTAAAAAACTTCCTTTCAGTCCGTGTTTCGTTCATGTGGATGTTGAACCGAACCGTCTGTTCACGCATCTTTCTTGCTCTCTGTTTAAATCTCGTCTTGTTAATCGCTCTGACTGTTTTGCAGCGGTATGAGGCGCGAGGTTCAGTGTGATTCTAAGAGCTTCAGGGTAAGCACGAGCGTTGGTGCGACTCCTCCTCCCCATCCCTCCATCTCGAACATCAAACTGCCTGCCGTCATGGGGCTGACGCTGCAGCCTCACTCATCAGGTCTCGTCGTGTATTTGTCAGCGGTCCGTCTTTAATTTGTTGGCGTTTGCACGGAGGCTGAGACCGATGCATGGCTTACACGGCGTCCGGTCTGAGCTCGTCAGGGCGGATGCTTTTCTGCGTTCAAGAGCCCTGCGCCTTCCCTCTCCTAGTGTACACCCCCCGTCAACCCCTCCCACTATACAACACTACACCCCACACTTCCCACCTTTCCCAGTTTTCCATCATTTGTTACACTGTGGACGTCTTTATTCTTCAACCAGAACGCAGTAAAGCAAAACTTTAACTGATGTGGTTATGTTGGACTACTGTCAGTAACTACACTGATTTTTGTGTTTTGGCAGAGATTTTATTAACCTAACAGTTGTTTATTTGTTTGTTTAAAGGTTTTTAAACATGCTGAGTCAAATACAAAGAGCAAAACCTTCAGTTGTTTTATATTTAATCTGGTAAACTTGATGGGCAGCACGGTGGCGCAACTGGTAGAGCTGCTGCCTCTCAGCGAGCAGGTCCCTGGTTCAAACCCCGGTCCAGGGGCCTTTCTGGGTGGAGTTTGCATGTTCTCTCCGTGCATGCGTGGGTTTTCTCCGGGTACTCCGGTTTCCTCCCACAGACCAAAAACATGCATGTTAGGCTGATTGGTAACTCTAAATTGTCCCTAGGTGTGAGTGAGAGAGTGAATGGTTGTTTGTCTCGTTTGTCTCTATGTGGCCCTGTGATGGACTTGCGACCCATCCAGGGTGTACCCCGCCCCTCGCACAGTGATTGCTGGACATGGGCACCAGCGACCCCCGTGACCCAAAATGGAATAAACGGGTAAAGAAAATGGATGGATGGATGGATGGTAAACTTGATCATATCAACAAAACAACCAGGCATCTAATTTCTCCCAGTTTTGTCAACGCTACAGAAGTTTCTATAAAGAAAGCGTTAAAGTTTGACATCAAACAGAAAAAGTGATCATGAGCTAAATCAAATGGTGCAGTTTGAAAGAGTTTACTCCAGAAGTTTTCCAGATGTAGTGAATGCAAATCTGGAATGCAGGTCCGCACTCAACGTAAACAAATCACTCCGAAGAGTCAAAATAAGTGGCAGTGATGAAGCAGCGTGTTTGAGCGCCATGAACACATAAACGTCTTCTAGACCAGTAAGTTTAACGTTTGACTTGTTTCAGTCACTCCGGCTGTTTCCGCAGGTAAACAAACTCGTTGGAGTCGGCATGCGGTCACGAACGTTGTTTAAAATGTTCATTTAAGAACTCCGTGGATACGAGACGATCATTGCACAGATTTGTCTCCTACGTTATACATTTTGTTTGACCGCTCTTTTCATCGAGCACCCGTAAAGAGCTACGGAACATTTTTAAATTCTAACGAAGTGATTCTGATTACCGTACGTCACAGCGAGAGTTGAGATTACTGAGAAACAAACTCGGAGCAAAAACTGAAGCAAAGATCTGATATGAAAACTTTGTGAAAGTGTTTAAATATCTGAGCTCTTGATAAACATATCAAAGTGTATGTGTATGTGTATATATATATATATATATATATATATATATATATATATATATATAT